CGGCTGGGAACCGCGTCCTGCCCCTTGTGACGATGGCAGAGAGGGTTGTGGGCTGGGGGGACAGCAGGCTCGGTGATGAGAAAGGGGCTGCTCCATCGGTGCCTGGGAAAGGCTGGCTGAAGGGCTCAGGCAGCAACGGGAGGCAGCACAGAGCCGATGGCCGTTCGGCCCCGCTTCTGCACAGCTCTACCAACAGGTACCTGCACCCAGGCAGGCTAAGCCAGCTCTTGCTCTCAGCTCAGGACATCCTGGGGGAGCAGCCAGCTGACCGAGTTTGGAAACGCAATGGGGGCAAGGAGGGGGAGATGCTGGGGGAAGCTATGGGAAGCCCCCTCCTCCCAGCTGCTCCATCCTTGTCAGGATTCAGGTACCAAAGTTGGGGACAGAAAAAGGGGTTATGTAGGCAGAGGCAAGGGCAAATAAGGGAGAGCTGCCCTGGGTTTTGTGCTTCAGGTGCAGTCACTCCAGAGCCAGGCTGGGTCATGCCCCAACTCATAACGTGGCTGCAAAGTGTGTCCCCAAGAAACAGGGGGTGCAGAGCAGGTTGTCTGAGCAAAGGTACGTTTTCAGAAATGCCTGCCTGGGCCAAATGCTACAATCCAGCTTTGGAGATACGACCCTCTGCTCACAAAACCTCCTTGTGCCCCGCTCAACCCCCAAGGGCAGTGAGCGGTTACCTGGGCCAGCACACGACACTTCGCTCCGGGCAGCGCCCAGGGCAGCTCCTCACTAGAGCACCGGCACAGAGAGTGGCAGCTCACGTCTGATTTGGGCAACATGAAAATAAGAGGAGAAAAAGGCCACAGGTCCATCAAGAGCAGCTGGTAGGGGCTGTGGTTGTGGGCACGGGCAGGGGAGAGCCTGCGGCCAAGGGCGCTTCAGCATCATCCTGCTCGAGTCGGTAATTCTGCGGTGGGTCGGGTGGGAGTGTGTCGCCATCTCCTTTCTCAGTGCTTTGATCTCCATGGTGACAAGGGGAACACGAGATCCAAGTTTAAAATATACTCTGCCTCCTGTTCTTCCCTCGGGCTGAGGAAGAGAGAGAGAGATGGGTCAGAGAGGTCAGACCGGCGCTTTGCAGAGAAGCTGAGCCCTGCGGTGCTCTGGGTTAGGAGGTTACAAGCCCACGGCAGTCACGAGGGAGCTGCGCCTCAGGGTACCTAGATGTGACTTTGCTACCACAGTAGGTGACAAGTAAGGATGCCCCAGGGGTAATTTGTGGAATAAAGCAGGGAGCAGGTGTGGCTTTTTCCTAGGCAGGACCCACTGGGAGTAACCTCGGTACCAGCGCGGTCCGTGGCACCACCTGGGAGAGGTCAGCATGATTTTCCCCAGTCCTACCTGACTGCTGAAAGGCTGAGCCTCGGTAGCCAGGGTCCTTTTGAAGCTGGATCTCCTTCAGGGAGAAGATGGAGACGTCTAGGCAGAGGGGGCAGAGAAAGAGAGGTCAGTCCAGCTGTCTGCAGTGGTGTGCAAACCCAGAGCCGGGAGGGACGGCAGTGCCCAAGTGCAGCACTGCACCTCATCAGAGCTTTTCTCTCGCACTACATTGTCCTACCCAAATTGTTTCTTGCTCTCACAGCCACCACGCTCCCACCCCACGCTGCTGCAGGAGCACCTCTGAGTGAGCAAAGACAAGAGGCACCCGAAGAGACCTGGCTGCAAACCACCACCCTCGCCTGCACAAAGCTCTGTGCTCCACACCCCCCAGGCAAGAGGACGGCGAGCACTTACTGTCAGGCAGGAGATGCACCCGCTCTCCCAGGCTCTTGAAGTAAGCGTGCCGCAAGGCTGCCTCCGCCGAAATCCGGCCTTTGGCTTCGTACTGCGGAAAGCCCCAGAGAAAGGCAATGAGACACAGTCTGCGGGTGCGAGACGCCACAGAGGCCCCATACAGGGTGCGTGCACATCTGTGCACCTTTGCACATGTAAGTGCCCAAGCAATCTCATATGCTGCGTGGGTGACAGCGTGTCCAAACACTGTGCACACCACGGGAGCGTGCAGGCAATTACCGGTGCCGTTTGCACGTGCAGAAGGGACAGCACACACTGTGTGACCATAAGAGTGCACCGGCCATGTGGTACCTTACGGATCATCAGGTTTGTATCCTCCCACTTGGTGTGAGAGGACACAGGGTGAAGGACGGTTCACCGTCCTTAATGGGAGGTGGTTTGGAATAGCATCTACAAGGCCACAGCTGCAGGGCCGTGGCTTATTCTGCAGTCACAGCTCCTCTCCTGCCCGGCTCCAGAATCAGCGTGAGCGCAGCCAGAGTACCTTCACTTCAGTAAATCCCTTTGCCATCCACCTGGACTTCTCTATCACTCACCAGAAGGAGGTTCGTCAGCAGGTCAATGCCTTCTGAGTCCAGCCTGAGAGAAGGAGGAAATAAAACCCAGAGCATTATTGCACCCAGGAGACATTGCAATAGTCAATGCAAGGGACAAGTGGCAGCTGGGACCTCCAGTGCACAGCTGCGTGCAGAAGCTGCCAGCACCACAAGGAGGAAATGAAACTGGTGACCCCAGGTTCCCGTTTACAACCAGCGCAAGCCCACCGTGCTTATGTGTCCCCGCTCAATTAGGTACCTCGGGGCGTGATTAATTAACGGCTGGGCTCGGTACTGCGTGAAATTGTAAGCCTTAAACTCCTCGTTGGATGTTATTCCAGGCCAGGTGTCTTCTGTTGGGGTTCCTGCGAGGGGGAGAGAGGGAAACCTGTCACGTTCATCTGGTGCAGAGAGAAGCGCGTCACGCGTGGGAGCGCCAGTGTCCTCCAGCAGAGAGGGCACCCATTTCCCCGTCAGGCTGGGACTCACCTGCGCATCCCACCGGGCAGCCGGCGAGGAGCT